CAGAGTCACCACAGGACATCAAGGCAGCTTTAACTCGGCACTGCGTCCTGTTCTGTTTTTGTAATGAGATATTGTGTTTTACATTGTGTTTAGAGCCATACCGTATTATTAAGTTCATCTGGGAGCTGCTCAGCTGAGTCACCGTTAGCACGGAGGACACGCAGATAAAAAGGAAGAATGCAGTTTTTAGACGCGCTCCGTCTCTGGTTCCACCATCGCCTGCTTCCTAAAACCTGAAAACCTTTTAGACTGGATCGGACACGCGTGAAGGCAGTCTTGAGCTGACTTTACAGTACATGAATGAGCCTTTTCCACCTATTTCTAACCGAACTAATGACCATTTGAAGGACGCATTGTTTGAAGTCTCTTCAGGCTCGATTCGAAATGGTTAACTCTTGTTGGACGTTTTTAATGCCAAGTTTGGACTCTAATCCTCTTGTTTGGTGACATCATTCAGAAATACGAGTACGTTCAGCTTGAATGTGCTTTTGGAAACTGTTTGGTTGCCGCTTCTCGACTCTTAAAAGTCAAACAACACTTAGAGAAACCTAATCGCAGAACACTCCTCGCTGCTGACGTAATGTAAACTTGGATCACAGCATGTTGAAGCAAAAAAAAAATAATGTACCGTCATGTTTAGCAAACGCTGCAAATTACAGTTTATGACTCAAATTAAAACTTATATGCAACTCATCGCTTTCTTTCTCTAGAGAACTTTCATACAAAACAATTTTCGTAATTACCGGTACTAATATAATTAGGCTAAGTGCTGAATAAAAACAGCAGTGCATAAAAATAGATTGTGCCTAAACTTGTTTACTTTTTTCTTAAAAGTGTCCAGAGAATATTTCTGTTAAATGACCGGACAACAAAAATGATTAATTTGACACGTTCATTTTAACGAGGGGTAATTTAAGCCATCGGTTTATGATTTATAACCGTTGCCGGTTTCTTGTTTTCATTTAAAAGAATGAAATGTCCACATGCTTAGGAAAAAACCTCTAATGGGTCAGAGGTTTTGGCTACATATGCTGCAGCTAACGCTGCAAGCCAGTATTGTTGCGCTTCTTTACTCTCACTGGTCCAGCGGATCAACGTGGAAGAGATCTGGCAGTAGAGCTGTAGCGCACCTGTGACACTTTGTAATCCTTTCAAAATAAAAACAAAAATTAAAGAAACATAACTTTGAGAGGGGTTGACGATAAAAGGAGAAGCACCTTGCTGGTTAGGATACAACTTGGCTCGTGGTCCCGTTACCAGCGCATTACTACCAGGCTCAAGTAAAATCTAATCAAACATCCATCCATCCATTTTCTTTACCCGCTTCTTCCATTTTGGGTCACGGGGGTCGCCGGTGCTCATGTCTGGCAATCGATGTGCGAGGGGCGGGGTACACCCTGGACAGGTCTCCAGTCCATCACAGGGACATAGAGACAAACAACCATTCACTCTCTCACCTAGAGACAGTTTAGTTACCAATCAGCCTAACATGCATGTTTTAGGTCTGTGGGAGGAAACTGGAGTACCCGAAGAAAACCCACGCATGCACGGAGAGAACGTGCAAACTCCACCCAGAAAGGCCCCCAGACTGGGATTTGAACCAGGGACCTGCGCGCTGAGAGGCAGCAGCTCTACCAGTTGTGCCACCGTGCTGCCCTAAAATAAAATCCTTCTATACAAAATACAACAAAAAATATATATATCAAAACAAATAAAAGCGTTACACGACATAAATAACAGACTTACAGGTACTAGCAATAATTGTACTTAAAAATACAAAAACAAACCGAATCGTCCTCTTAATAAGACGTCAGTCATGTTTAACAACCCTTCAAATGTTCAGAAAGTGGCTGCCCAGCCTAATAAATATAAACTAAACTGGACGTGCAAAATCCTTATTTCTTGAAAATAAATTGAATAAATATGGACAAATAAAAAGGTTTTAGACAAAAAATTAAATAAAAACTTATTTGGGCAGAAAGCCTTTACAAACTAGTGATTTAAACCACTTGAAAAGAGTACAAGATACGAAAACATAAAGAACCAGTGGGAAGATTGGGGCTTTTCCATGGTACTATAAACCACGCATACAGTACAAGTACATAAAAATCTGCGTTAACCGGGGCAGCTCAGCATCATTTTTCTATTATTACCCCCATGTTGAAGTAACTTTATCTTTTAACAAAACCTCCATTTCAAAGCTTTGTGACGTAAAACACACAGCCTGATGCTGGAGGGATCAACCGAACCAAACAGTCAGCACGACATCAGCCCCTCATACTGTAACTAAATCTCTGTGTCAAATAACGGCGAGGTAAAGAAGGCCAGAGCTTGCGGAGGAAACCCCTCGGCCGCTGCAGGAGGAGGATTAAGCGTTGGGTAATTGTGTTAGAGCTGAGGATTTAGATTAGAGCTGAAGAACGACGCACAACAGGTTAGCTGGAGACGGGGGAGTTTCAAACTGAGGAGTTAATAACGAGATATCAGTGCAGATCTGACTGATGGAAAACAAAGAAAGAGAATTAAATATCCTATCTGACAGAAGGAGGAACGTCTCTATGTGGTATCAGTTACAAAGCACTGCATAAGATTAAAAAGTATGATTACCTATCCTTATTTGATTGAACGGAGAACGGATGAAATCCATGGAAAACAAGATTTTTTAATGGAAGCAGACATATTTCACTGAGTCCAAACACGAAGAGGATTAGGATATAGCTGGGAAAGTCTTTTTCTTCAGATATGGTAAAGTTTTTCTGTCTAATACTGATTTAATGTCTATTTATTTATTTGTAGAACTACGAAAGTGACCCGTTTTGGGACTTTTTTGGAAAACAAACTACCCTTTAGTTGTTGACGAGCCTTACTGCCATATTTTTAATTTTATGTTCCTGGTTTAAGCTGGACTCCAAAGATCCAACATGCACACAGTAACATCCAGTGATATTTAGAAACGTCTAAAAACATGCACAATACATGCAGGAGAAACGCTAAAACCCTCGACACAAATCTTAATGGATGCCATCGTCTGAAGAAGCCACTGGAGAAGCCCCAGTCAATATTAGCTGATTGCAAAATCTGGGTTGCGTGCACACATTTCCAGTTACCCAAAGCCTCTTTAGATCTCAAACACTCGCCACGCAGGATAAGCTTTGAGCAACGTTAGTTGCTTTTTACTAGTTGATGCTGAGACTTTTCACAAATTAAACTACGCAAACTTTTTTTTGATTTACCGGTAACCCAAACGGAGCTTCAACAAGCATTTAAATAAATGCTCAAGTTCACAGGCTGCAGCTCCAAAACGTAACGAGCAAGCAATAAATCAATAAGTGGGATAAATAATAATCGTCCTAATCAATAGTGAACCTAATCATCCCTTGCAAGCATCTCACTCCAGCTGGTTTCTGTAATTAATGATGGGAATTACCTGGGCGGGTTCAAGTCTGCTGGAATGGATTTTCTCCTCTACACGGCTAATAAACCACAACATTCAACCAAATTATGACAAAAACAGATCAATGTGCAATCAATTTATGAACTACGGTACTTCTATAATCAATTATTCATTCAACTATTTTTGTTGTTGTTGTCGTTTCAGCACAAAACGAAGGGTAAAATCTCAAATTAAGTTTCAAACTTTAGTGATTTCTAACTTTTTGTCAGATATTATTGGTTTTCATGTTTTGTAGACACCATTTTGACTAAACAATCTATCTGCTGCCGACTAAACTTAGACTGGTTTACTGTATGGCGCCGAGTGGAGTTCCCCCCACGGCTACAAGAGGTACCAGTCAACATGAGATGAACTTGTGATACGATCTACATAGAAAAACTACCGGTGCTTCATATTTGGTGGGACTTGACTCAGAGCCAGCTGTGGGTTTGAGTTTGGTTTAACTGAGTGAAGAAAACCACAAGAGTAAAGCCCCTAAAAACAAATCATCCTGTAAATGAGGCTCGTGCCGGCCCATGAGGCGTGCACCTGTATTGTTATCGTCGCCTGCCACCAAAAGTGATCATGTTTTTTATCTAATGGGCAGATTTTAATGAAACTCTCAGGAAGTAATCACTCAGATGTACATTTATACCAGACTGGCTTTACAAGTCAACAACAATCAAGATGGCTGCCACAGCTAAGCAATCACAGTTTGCACAAAAATGGCGATAACTCAGTTTTATAGACATTTGGGTGTAGTAACAGAAAGTCATTCCCATCACACGCACGGATCGTGCAAGACTTACTGTAAAATTTTGCTTTCAAAAAACAAAATTTCAATGTTTCTTATTTAATGTCTTTGTATGTGTGCATCATATGATTAAAAAAAAAACACTAAGTATGCCTCATTCCAAAAGTCTACCACATAATTTGTCATAAATGAGCGGAGTCATATTTTGTTGCCAACAATTCGAGTTGTAAACAAAAGGCGAGGACTAGTTGCATTTTTCTAAAAACACAATTTTTACAAAAACCCTGTTCAGATTGAATTACACAAATCTCCAAACATCAATTTAATGGCTTTAACTATACAGTCATCAACTCTGCCTGTTAGCAAAATATCTCATGAGCCACAGAATGGATTTTAATTGAACTAACCACTGGATGTACATCTACAAAATATTAAATTTTGGTGACAACCCCATTAAAAATGGCCACCACAGCAAAGCAACCACATGCAAGACAAAACTGGCTTTAAGTAAGCCAACAGTACAGGTACTGAGCTGCAATACAGTGTGTGGTAGTAGCTGAGAGTCGTCAACAAACACCATCTCTACTGTATACAATTCAAGGAATTCGACCATTTAAGTCTATAAAACAAAACTTCTCTGACTGTACCAACCCCTCAATGAGAAGCTGATTAAATGGAGTTTAGTGGACGTAAGAAAACTCCAAACGGATCAAATATTGGACCAGAACCTGCCATCCGGTCTCATTACATCACATGAGGTTAAACAAATCACAGCATCAGCTAACGGGCCTCGAGCCCTCATCTCCTCCTCACCTCGACCAACGGCAGGTCCGGGTCCAGGTGTGTGAAGCTGTGCAGGACCACCGGACTGGGGTCCTCCACCACCTCCAGCTTCACCCCGTCCCAAATGTTCCGCACCTTCCAAGACGAGTCGAACATTTCGAGCAGCTGTCCCGGTTTGAGGCTGCGCGCCTCAGTTTGCATCCCCGGGAAATAGACCATGGATGCCGGTCGGTCACTGCGGCATTTTAAAGACGTTTTCTCGGTGTTTTAAAACCCTTAGCGACTGCTGCTGGGTGAGGCTGAATCAGCTCTGTGGGCTCATCGCTGCGGTGTGAGGCGTTCAGGATAATCATGACTCACAGCGAGGAACTTCTAAACCCCGCCCACAGCCGTGTGGTACCTTCATGATTATCGGAAATATCATTACTACACTCACAACTATTTGCTTTGGTAATTAAAAATATTTTTTACGTCTTTTATTTATGTACTGCTACTATTTTTAACAGTTTCGTTAACTATTGTGTACTTTTTAAAGTTGTTTTGTATTTAAATTATTTAACTACATTTACAGACTCAGCTAAATAGATGTTGGTGTTATTATTAGCTCCTTTTTTTATTTAGCCGTTAAAAGATATATGAGAAAATGAATACTGACGACCAAAAAACAAATTATTTTCATCAAAGAAATCAGACGTTTAGAGCTCGTATTCCGAGAAGCGAGATCTCCGAGGTGACCCTGAAGGCAGCGTCAACTCCTCCACTCTGACGTCATGGCTTTGGGAAACGATGGTCTTGTGTTGTTTCTGCTCTCACTATGGCAGCAGGACAGTATGGGAAAAGAAAACACACTAAAGTACAGTCCAGTATCTCTGCTCTCAGCTGAAAGCACATATTTACACAGAAATTACAGCAGCTCGACGGCCTGCAAACATTAAAAAGTCACGCTGCACCATTTTGGTCAAGTAAAATACTAAAAAAAAAACACACATTTACTTAATGCCACTGTAGTTTCTGTTAATCTGCAAATTTTATGAGGGCCATAATGTTTCCCACGTTTTTCTTATTACAAATAAACTATAAAAACAAAAAAGCTCAAATAAATTAAACTTTGGTCAAAAATAAACTTAGCTAACTGTTCAGAACAAATCTTGCACTCAAAATCCATCAGTAATAACATTAATAATAAATTAATTTGTCTTTTTGAGTGCTTTGATTTTCTTTTTCACTTTTAAAGTGAGTAGTAAATTGTTCTATACTGAATCCCTTCTACTGCAGAGCAACCAGTTTTACATTTTCCTAAAACAAAACTTTTTGACAAAAGTTGCAGCTACTACTTCGACAACACCAAGAGCAACACTCCACGTCCAAATCAATTACAAAACAATTCCAATTATAGTAAGTTTATGTACTCTTTTGTATTCCTGTCATTAATTACTGTGCAAGTCGTTATAGTTTTCAAGTTTTGCTTCAGAAAATGCTAGACTTTTTTGAAAAAGTGTGGGGCAGGCAGCGAGAAAACACTTTTTGACAGACAGAAAAACACATTTTAGCACCAACAACGGGATTCCCAAAGACGTGTTAAGACATTAAAACACAATACAAACCAAAAACAAATCCTGTTTTATTTTGCCAGTTGCCACAAACTGTAAAGCTGTAAAGTTATTGTAAAGCTATCCTGCTGATCCATTATTTAATTCCTGAAACACCCATCATGAAGGGCCTGTTTTGTGTTTTTATTTATTTGAGATGTGACTCAGCAGATGCACCAAGAAACAGAAGACAACTGGAGAGGATTTATCGTTCAACACTGCCACCTGCAGGCCGATGTGAGTTTCACAGTTCTTATTATTGAACCAGCAGGATCTTTTAATTGAACAGAACCCCTAAGCTTTTTAAACGATTACCAAATCACTTGAGCCTGTTTTAATCACAAACACTTAACAAAGAGACCCAACAAATCACTGATGATTAACAGAGAGCTCTCATGTGTGATGCTTAATTACAAAAAACGTGCAGGGCTGGCGGTGAGATCAGGAGTGAAAAGGGTAAAACATCAGATGAGCCGAGTCCAACCACAAACACATCTGAGCTCCCAGAGCTTTCTCATTAAGCAGCTGCTGCACTTCATAACACAAAATCTGCAGCTGCTTGAAGGAGAGGAAGAGAACTACCAACACTAGCAGAAGTATTAGCTTAACAATTGTTGTGGACCCCTAACGATCTCTGAGAGCCAGGAGGTCCGGCCAAATTCCAGTCTGCAGTGATATAAGAGAAGCTCTTCTTCAATCTGCTGGGAATCAAAACCAGAGCATGTTGTTGTTCTGCTGCTGAGGCTCGGACTTGTTTTACTGTTCCCCGAGGAGGGCGACGCTAACGGCCTGCATTACTCCCTTACTCTCCCACGCAGAGAACAAGTTTTACTGAGAAGAAACTCGTCGCAGCAGAATTAAAAAGAACAAAAATGAGCCCACATTCAAAATTAGCAACCTCGACTGAAAAGGGTTCCATCACGACAAGCATGGAAATCAGGGCAGTGACATCCATCCATCCATCCAACAACTCAGATATTTTTATTTATTTATTTATTTGCCTGGGTGACATTCAGCAAGGCACTCTGTTCCTCCAGTGAACTGGACAGCTCTGAAGGCCTGAAGCTAAACTGAGCTGCTAACCATCTCCCAACGCCCCTCAAGAGTTAAAGTAAATAAATACATGTAAAAGCAAATAAACGAGATTCCCAGACATACACACTAAGAGTAGGACTGAACAACATGAAAAAATGTGATCGATATAGATATTAAACTGTCAATAACGCATAAATCTACAAGTTTCAAATTTTATGAGCATTTTCTTTATGAAATCTCTAAAGTTCATTTTAGCTTTAAAATCAAAAGAAGCAGTTGTTTTAGTTCTCCAAAGTTGCACTTAATTATCTTTATAGGAATAATAAACAGAGGGGTACACAACCTGCTAAATGTTGAAAGTAGGCTAAAAGAAAAACGTCATACTGAAGGAATATGTGCAGCTTAGAGGAGCTAAAACGCCAAAAATGTCCGTAAGAGCTTTATTATACGTGAAGTCTAAAACAGATCAGAACAAAAACATTTGTTGCTAACTAGGCATTTATTTTTGTTGCAAATTTTTCAAAATAATCAACAATTTTATGAATAAATTTCCTGAAATAAGAAGGTCTAAACTTTCAGAGCAAGAAGCTAGAAGATTCGTGAGAAAATAATATTTTGCGTCAGCCACAGTTTCAACTTTACAGGAAGTATTTTAAAATCAAAATGTGATGCCATTTGTCTTTTTTCACCCAATTTAAGACTGCAGGACATTTTTTTTTTCTCCTAAAGCTTCTAAATTACAATAAATAAATAAATAAAATGCTTAGCTGCTCCGCAAAAAATGGGAGCAAGATCTTCAGAAATACAAAAGTTACTGTTTTTACGTTACCGTTCACGCTAAAAACCAAAACTGTCACACAAGCGACACGTGCAGCAACGTCTTATAGTTCTCACAAGTGTTTCTGTCGTAGTTTTAGTGAATTGCCTGAGCCCCAGCGTCACCGTGGCATTCTGAACTCACAGCTGATAAATATTTACCAATCAGCAGCTTTTATCGCTTGTTGTATTGAGAGAAGCACCTTAAATGTTTCAGCGGTTAATTAGAGACAAATGCTGAAAAGTATCCGGACAGTACAGAAAGTTGAAACAATTGTAGGAGAGATGAACAAACCAGACGTTTAAGTTGACCTCAACAAACAAAGCAGGCTTTTTTAATTATTATTATTAATGACAGCTCTTACGGCCGAGAGCCGTGGTATCCTGTTTAGGCTGCTATATTAAAAAACGTTAAGTAAAACAACTTGTAAAGTGTTTTACAGAGCAGCTGATATAACAGAAGCAGAAAATGTTGGCGAGGCGCCCGTTCTGTTGTCTCAGATCGACGGTTCTTAACAGAACCAGACAGCTGAGGTCAGGCGTCTGCGCCGCTTCATGTCGCCGTGAAGCCAGAAAACTGTAACGTTGGTAACTTGGATCAGATTAAAGTCAGGAAGACAGCTCGACCTCCGTTTTAGGTGCAGCAGCAATCAATCTGAACTGCAGACGGGCTGAACTGTGATGCAAGAGCATTTACGGTAATTATTAACACTTATCAAGTCTTTGAGTCCAGAAAAATATTCTAAAATCCAAGCTGCCTTTTGGGCAGGTCTTAAAAATATATGCACGAGTTTTCTGCATCTTTAAAGACCGACTGTTGCACAAATAAAACACAATAGAAGCGATAAGACTGACCAGTCTCCGTTCCCTCCTGTTGATTCACCATTTTTTCTTGTTGAATCAGCTTTTACTTTGTTGTTTTCTACTTATTTTGTACATTTGTTACAATCTTACCACTTCTGCAGATTTTCTGCTATTTCAGCTGTTCATATAGCAGAAAGTTCAGCTCATTCAGAATAAACGCACGACGACTTTTGGTGTTGTAATTTTTCTATTTTTGAAAATCCATTATTGAAATCCATTATTGAAATTTTTCAATCCCTCCATAAACCATTGATCTCTGAAATCTACTTCAGCTACTGGTTTTAGTTTTGACTTTTAGCTGCTAGCTAGCCTTTTGATACTTTTTTGTAAACACTTTGCTACTTTAGATTTTAGCCATCCTTTTGATACTTAAAGCTTTTAGCTAGCTTTTGCTGTTTTAAACTTTTAGCCTTCCAAAACATTTGGCTTTAGTCTTTAAGCCACTATTTTGCTACTTTTAGCTTTTGACTACTGTTTTGCTACTTTGAGTTATTAATAAGAATTATTTTTTTTTAGGTTTAAGCTTTTTCATCTTTTTAGCTTTTAATTAGTCTTCTGCTACTGTTGACTTTCGGCTAGCATTTTGCTCCTTTTAGTTTTTAGCTGGCATTTTGCAACTTTTAACCATATTTGCTACTTTTAGCTAGTCTGTTGCTACATTAGCCAGCATTTAGCTTTTATATTTTAGTTAGCATTTTGCATCTTTTATATTTTGGCTAGAGTTTTGCTTTTTTATTTTTCAGATTGAGTTAGCAAGCCTTTTAATAATCGCAGTTGTTTAGCTTAGTTTAGCTTTTAGCTAGTGACCTGCTCCTTTTAGAGTTTTCAAATTAGTTTCAGCTTATTCAGCAGATTTAGACCAACTCACTCAGTGCTCAGTGTTTAGACTGCATTTTCACAGAAAATGTTGTTTCT